TATATATATATATATATATATATATAATTGATTACATTAAAATTAAATAAATTATATGTATTGTATTCCTCATTTGTAAGTTGTAATAATATATATATATACTACATTTTTAATTAAAACTATTTTATAATTATTATAAAGTATTAAACAGTATTTTATAACAAATAAAAAAAAGCTTATGTAATTATTTTGCTGGTCTTTTTTACAGATTGAACAAAATTTCTAAAGATGTGATCATACAGAAGAAGAATCAGTTCATGCAGAGACTTCACAACTATTGGTTGCTTAAGCGTCAGTCACGCAACGGAGTGCCTCTCATTCGTCGTTTGCATTCACATCTGCAGGGTCAGAGGAGTGCAGAACAGGTCAGAGTTTATGCATATTTAAATTTTGTATACATAAGCCACACCCCTTATGCACAACTACAATATTATGCATTGTGTGCATGATATTGACTGTTATAAACTGTGTAGGTGGAGCCAGATGAAAAGCTGAATGCTGTGAGAGAAGAGCTGAAATACTGGCAAAAGCTTCGTCACGATCTGGAGCGAGCGCGACTCCTGATCGAGCTCATTCGCAAGAGAGAGAAACTAAAGAGAGAGCAGGTAACATACTGAAATGGTACATATGAAAACTGTATTCTTGCATAATAAAGACAATGAAGTTATCTTGAACGAGAAATGTGGACTCAAGTCGAACCAGTCATGGTTTTTAAAGTCTGTTTGACACCATAAGCAGGATGTCGTTTTTTCTGCACTCATATTTACAGCCTCCAGCATAAAACACATGTGCTGAGCCTATTTTTGCCCCATGTAGCGAGCTGAATTGAAAATGCACCATTAAACTATTAATGAACAATATCAATGCCATATAGGCTTTGATGAAGCAACATAAAACACTGAAGTAAACAATTGAATGAAAAAAGATGCCTGTCTGGCTTGGTACAAACAGCACAAACACGTTGCTTTTAATAAATCTTACATAATCCAACGAATAAGCAGTTAATATATACAATTTGTTTCATGTAAATTACCATTCGGGTGTAAATGTAATGCCCCTCCTCATGAAAATTAGAATTTGTGAGGATCAAGTTTGTGCTAGCTCTCAATTGGTTTTGAAAACTGCTTTTCAATTGCTTACTCCCAATAATCATTTCATAATTTATAGCTGTTATCAAAGAGAATACACAATTTGGTAACCCAGCAATGTTTTTTTTTTTTTTCTGTATAGAGCCGAAGCTCTGTTGAGCAGCAGAAATTCTGTCATTGTGAAAGTACAGCACAAGCCTGCTGTTGCCATTATGCTGCAGTGTAAAGCGAGCATAAGAGTTAGGCTATGACTTGATTTGCCAAATACTGCATGTGAAATTGGAATTAGTCATTTCTTGAGATTTGGCTTGGCTGCTTTTTTAGCCAGGCAAAACCACATGTGACATCTTGTACTATGAATGAAAGTGATGAAGGCACATTTTTTACGTGAATACGTTTCTACCACTTCCTTTGCAACTAATTGGTGGTTCGGAAAGGAAATAATGTACAAGCATTAGTGCAACTGAACATACTGACAAACTATAATTTGCCACTTGCTGTTTTAATATTAATATAATTTAGGGGGAGGGAATGTTCACATTCAAAGGAACATTTTATTGGACAGAAATGTATATGCCTGTGCATGAAAAACAAGTCATTACTTTTTTTGTCCAAGTTTTCTGCATTAAGAATGTAAAAAGGATTTTAAATAAATTGAAATCTGCTCAAATTTTGTTTTGTCAACATTTAGAACTACATATTGATGACCTCAAAGCTCACAGACATGGACTAAAAGCCACAGAACTAATTTTCATGAAGAAATAGGACCCATTACTTTTTTAATTTTTTTTTTATAACATCTGCTGACTTCAGTCACCTTGACCATATATGAAATTGTCAGGTGTCTCACTATATAACCATGTGTTGCTTCTGTAGGTAAAGATTCGCCAGGCTGTGACTGAGCATCAGTTAACTCCGGTCCTGGTACTGCTGCGATCCACTTTAGAACAGCTTCAGGAGAAAGATACTGCAAAAATATTTGCACAGCCTGTCGATTTGAAAGAGGTGTGTCTATTTTATGTACATTCGTATACACTACTGTTCAGAACTTTGCGAAAGAAGTCTCTTATGTTCACAAAGACTGCATTTATTTGATCAAAAATATAGTATAAACTGTAATATTGTGAAGTATTATTAACTAAAATAAAAAAGAGAATTTTAAGAAGCCGTTATTCCAGTCTTCGTTGTCACATGCTCGTTTAGAAATCATTCTAATATGCTGATTTGCTGCTTAAATTACATTTCTTATTATTAATGTTGAAAACGGTTGTGCTGCTTAATATTTATGTGGAAACTTTCATATATTTTTCAGGATTATTTGATGAATAGAAAGTCCAAAAGAACAGCATTTATTTGAAATATACAAACATTTGAACAGTAATGTAAATGTGTCAAGTCATGATCGATTAATATGTGGCACAGGTCGTTTTTTGCATATTGGCCAATATAACCGCTTTAAAAATGAATTGATCCATTAAGCTTTATAAAACGCAAATCTACTCTTATATTCAAATTCTAATATCTTCACATTGAAGTTTCAGTTTCACAGAAGCTGTGCTCTTGGGTTCTCAGGTCCCAGATTACCTGGAGTTTATCACGCAGCCCATGGACTTCTCCACCATAAAATCCAAATTGGAGGCTCACAAATATCGCTCCGTCACTGACCTTGAAGCTGATTTCAACCTCATGATCAATAACTGCCTGCTTTATAATTCTAAAGACACTGTGTTTTACCAAGCTGCAATACACCTGAGGGACCTAGGGGGCGCTATCCTGAGGCATGCTCAGAGACAAGCCCAAAACACAGGCTTCGACCTGGACACGGGCATGCACCTGGCAGAATCGCCACATAAAAATGACTACTACCGCTGCACTTTGGAAGATGGTGAGTAGTTCATAAAGAAATCATATAAAACTACCACTGCCAACAAGTTACTGTTGGTATTTAAAGTGCCTACAATTGGGTGGGATTTCTTGACTTTGACATCATTTAGCTTTAACCTTTTAAGTTATTTTTCCAAGATGCCAATGGCATTACGTTTACCTTTTGTTCTTTGTTACTAATGGTTGGTTTTGTTGTGTGTGTAGTCGACACGCTGCTAGACCCTGATAATCGATTGCACATGACGACGGAAAACCAGTTGAGGGAGCTGCTAGATAAATTAGACGTGGTGACGTCCATGCGCTCGAGTGGTGCACGCACACGCCGTATACGCCTGCTCCGGCGAGAAATCAACAGCATCCGCTATAAGCAGCAGTCGCGGAACTCACACATGCTCAATGGAGACCTCAAAGAGGAAGACGAGGAGGAGGATGAAGACAAGGAGAGGGATGGTGAACATAACCTGTTGTCATCGTCATCGTCAGATAAAGGTGAGACTTGACTATGGTTGGGAATCAAGAACCGGGTGTTCAGAATTCCATTTTTTCAGTTAATGTTCCAGAATTCCAGATCATTTTTTTTCTACTAGAACCATATGTTTTTCTTGACATGCAGTTCTGTTAATGATATTTGAACGTCTGCATTCTTTAAGTTGGCATGAACTGTAAATTCAACATATTTTGTAAATGCATGTTATTGATCCGATTGTAAGCAATTCATCAAGGCATGTTTCGTTTAAAAAAAAAAATAAAGAAATTTGACCTTGTAATTTTTTATTCAAAAAATCATATCTGGATACTTTGGAGAAACAACAGAATTCACTCTGGTCACATATGCAGTAGTATCACATACTACTTCGGTTACATCTCGACTTTTATAAATTGATCAAAAATAGTCTCAAACTAGTCTTGAACTCTGATTCAAACTGATAGTTCTAATGAATTGTTTACTCACTCTAAACAGTTCTTGACTTAAAGGGATAGTTCACCCAAAAATGAAAATTCTGTCATTAATTGCTCACCTTCATGTCGTTCCAAACCCGTAAGACCTTCGTTCATTTTCGGAACACAAATTAAGGTATTTTTGATGAAATGTGAGAGCTCTCAGACCCTGCATAGACAGCAACGCAACTGTAATGTTCCCAGGTCCAGAAACATACTAAGGACATCAGTAAAACATTCCATGTGATATCAGTGGCTCAACTTCAGTTTTGCGAAGCTACGAGAATACTTTCTGAGCGCAAAGAAAACAAAAATAACAATTTATTCAATTCTTCTCCCCCGAGTTACGTCTTCCGGCATTTTAGAGAGTATCACAACGCATACACTTTCCCCTAAGCGTAAACAACGCTGATTACGTCGATTACGCTCTTGGGTACTCTCCAAAATGGCGGAAGACGTAACAAGAATTGTTAAATAAATGTTTGTTATTTTTGTTTTATTTGTGCTCAAAAAGTATTCTCGTAGCTTCGCAAAGCTGAAGTTGAGCCACTGATGTCACATGGACTGTTGTACCGATGTCCTATGTTTCTGGACCTGGGAACATTACAGTTGCGTTGCTGTCTATGCAGGGTCTGAGAGCTCTCACATTTCATCAAAAATATCTTAATTTGTGTTCCGAAGATGAACGAAGGTCTTACGGGTTTGGAACGACATGAGGGTGAGTAATTAATGACAGAATTTTCATTTTGGGGTGAACTAACCCTTTAAGGCCTGTTCAAATCAAAATCTACATTACAGTAACTATATTACAATCCACACCTATGCATGATAACTTTGCTTATTATAAGTACGCACTGCAGTTTGTCATCTACTACTTTAAATGCTTAAGCTCTTTAAAGCAGGATGCAATTCAGGAAGTGACGATTTTGTTCTCTTTGGATCCTTGGATGGAAGCGGTGCTTTATTCTCAAATGTTTTATGCGATGTTCCAGTTTTGCGCATAAGTTAAAATTGCATCTTCAGAATCAGAATCAACTTCGCAAGTTGTTAATTTCATCTAGTCTAACTTATAATTAACTTTAACTAATGTGTATTTAGAAATTGTAAAGTGGCATCAGAACCAGAACCATCCCTTCAGCAAAATTTTTGATTTCTCATTCAGCAATGCCAGTCTGAGTCAAGATTTTTTTGTAACATCTGGTTGTTCTTCTTCATCTAGATGACTGTAAATCAACCCCCCCACCCATGCTGGAACCCACAGGCCTGGCTTTGTCCCCTCCCCCAGCAGACACCCACCAAGAACCGCCAACCCTCCGACCCATGACATCTGACCCCAGGACGTCCCCATGCCCACCTAAGCGCCTCAAACTTGACAGCGAGAGCCAAGAGGCCAATTCAGACGCTGCACCTGTGAACAGCTGCACCAAACCTGAGGACCGCCCACCCGAGAACAAACTGATCAACGGCCTCTCCTCCACAGAGTCACCGACCCGGCCTGCCACAGGAGGGGTCGGCCGGCGGACGTCCGTCCTTTTCAAAAAAGCAAAAAATGGAGCAAAGCTCCAGCGTGAGAGAGACAATCAGATGCAGAACGGAAGCAGGGAGGAGGCCGTCAGTGCTGACCCAGACCCTGCACGCACACCCAACTGCACCGCCACCCTCAAGACTGAAACTTCAGCCCAGCCAAAACCTTCAACACCTCCGCCCATATCAACCCCGGCCAAACAGAGAGCAAGAAGCCGCAGCTGTAGTCCAGAGCACGAGAGAACGCCCCCTCAACTCACTCTAGAGCCTGGTAAAGAAAACAACTGCTTTACATGATGCATTTTAAATGATTTTGTGATAGGTTTACATGAAGGGCACCATGATTTTGGGGTAAAATGTTATTGCAGATTTTCCTGATTAAAAATTGCATTTGGAAATGAAAATGCATTTGTTAAAAATTGTTTTGGTGAAAGCTCCAGGTTTGCACAATATCATTATGTAAAATAATAATAATTTTTTTATTATTGCTTCAAAATATTAAACAAAATAAGAAATATTGTTATCGTGCAAGTATATTCTACAAGTATTTAGGAAAAATAATAAACGTTTTACTGTCAAGCTGTAAAATTACAATACTAATATTTAAGTTATAATTTCTTCATCTTCTAATGTTTAACCATCAAGCTTTTAATTGTAACCTTGTCTTATTTACTTGTAAAATAACTGCTGTCACCCCTGTGGGTTTTTATATGCCTTAAACAATATGTAAATGTGCTTATGGTTGCGACATCATAACCAGTACAAACTCGCTTTTGCATCACAGTTTCCATAAATGGGTGGAGACCTTGGAGGGATAATTACATTTCATTTTATTTATTTACATTTTACAAAGCATGGACAATCTTGTTTTTCATGACGAACTGAAATTGTGGTATGGATAATACTTTATACTAATGAAACCTTTTTTAGCTCTCACCAACGGATTCAGAAAGCACAAAGATGGCGGCTCTGACTCAGAATGCAGCTCATCTCCGACTCTCAGAGAACTGTAAGAGAAAAAAACGAAAATCTGAAACCTCTCTGCATCATATAGCTCACATGTACAGTTAACTGATCACTTCTGTTGCTTTCAGTGTCTCACCCCCTAAAAAGAGCCGAGGGAAACCTGCATTGTCCAAAGTCCCTTTTTTAGAAACTGTTAACGGAGACTCTGACTACACTGGGACTGGTAAGAAATTAATCCCTATGAAATGTCAATATATTTGTTAATATTTTTTTTGTGCCCAAGTGGATACTACAATCCTTGTTCTATGCAGATGTTCTGTCAAACGGTGATGCGCCTGAACCTGAAGCTCTGGATTTGGTGTGGGCCAAAAGCAGAGGATATCCATCCTACCCTGCTCTGGTGAGAGAGGGCGCTCTACATTCATATTACGTGAATACAACGCGTTGGTTCAATTATTTTGGGTAACGCATACCAGTCAACATCTTGAAAAAATTTGGAAAAGTCTTTTTTTTAGGCTTGAGAATTTGACCAGCCTTTCACAATAATGGGACAGGCCTGACATCAAAACTGACCTTGTTTCCATCATTAATGCACATTCCTGGTCTGATTATGAATTATTCCTGAGTCCAGGGATTATCAAGCTTTTTTTGTCAGTCAAACCCCTTTGACCTAAAACACCTCTGAGAAGTTAATATTTCAGAATTGGCAGTCATTTAACAGCTAGTTAATGGTCACATGACAATTTTTTTTCACAAGTGTGTTATTTTGATTGCTATTACTTATTATATTTCAGTTTGTTTTATTAAAATAAATGATTGTACGTATATAATTTTTATGATCTAATTATTAGTTTCATCAACTTGCTTCACTAGTAAACAAAGTATTTAAAAAAAAATTAATTGCTTTTATTATGTTATATATTTTGTTTTGTTTTTTGTATTGTTATTAAAATGTTATTTTCGTAAAATAAATAAATTTTACATTTTTATTACTTAATTATTACCACCTTTGACTCACAAATCCCAGTTTGGAAAAACCCTGCATTAGTCCATGTTATTTCAAAATTGTATCAAAATTTGCTTCATTTCTATGACATTTTCTTTTTGAATAACATTGCTAATCCCTCATCCACAACTTCTCATGGGCCCTATATATTTTTTTCTCACCAAATAGCCTTTTTTTTTGGGTTGTGAACAGTGTTAAAGCAAATCACTGACGTTCAAATATTAAAGGAATGGTTTGAATTGCTCTTATTTTGTAGATCCATAACCAAATAAAACATTTTTTTTACTGCGTTTATTATTATATTTTGAATATTTTTATTTTATTCAAATAAGTAATTATAAGGTTACATTTTTATTATTTAATTATTACCACTTTTTGTTGACTCATAAACCCCAGTTTGGAAAAAAACCTGTGTTAGTCAGTGTTATTTCAAAATGTTATCATAATTTGCTTCACTTCTGTGACATATTTTCTTTTTGGATAGCATTACTAATCCTCCTTCTCAACTTTTCATGAGCCCTATATTTCTTCTCACCAAATAGCTTGTTTTTTGTGTTGTGAATAGTGTTAAAGCAAGCCACTGACATTCAAAGGTTAAAATTAATGGTTTGAAATGCTCTTATTTTGTAGATCATAGATCCAGACATGCCTCAGGAGGGTCTTCTGCATAATGGAGTTCCCATCCCTGTGCCTCCGCTTGACGTGCTGCACCTTGGTGAGCAGAGACAAGAAGAAGCCGGCGAGAAACTCTTCCTGGTTCTCTTCTTCGACAACAAACGCACCTGGTGAGCACAGCACTGGGGATTTACTTTGTTTTCCTTCAGCTTTATCCTCCACACTTTGCATTTTCAAAATATCCATTGTAAGTATCTGCTGGCTTTACGGGTTTCAGAAGGAACTGACAGTGAGTTTTTCTGTTCTTACGTCTGTCTCTGCAGGCAGTGGCTGCCACGAGATAAAGTGATCCCCCTTGGCGTTGACGACACGGCCGATAAACTGCGTTTGATGGAGGGCAAGAAGACCAGTATCCGGAAGTCTGTGCAGGTGGCCTACGACCGAGCTATGATCCACTTGAGCCGAGTTCGAGGAGATCATGGTTTTGTCGGCTCCAACTACATGTAGAACAGAAACGCCAACGGCATCTGTCCTAACGTACCACTCACATGGGCTTTCTAAGGTGGTCTGAGAGCCATTTGGTTAGTGCACCAGGTATTAGACTCCTGATCATTCAGTTCAGTTTAGTTTATCCATGTGTTCATGACGCAACCCTCTCAGTCATTTCAGATTCAGAACTGGAAAGTACAGTGGCTTCTACCAATAATTAGTTTTTATGAGGTGTCACTTTATGGTGATGGCGAGTCTAAACCACATAGACTCAGAGTTTTAGCATTTGGGTACATTCAGAGCAATTCATTTCTGAAATATGTATTTTAAATGAATGAACTTAAAGAATATAAACGTTTGAATGGATCACTGCCATTTTCTTAAGATAGCTTTTTACTTTTTAAAGTTTTACAAACCACTTGTATATTGTAAAGACACTTGTGTATATAAGTATGTTTTTTTTTTTTTATCATATAGTATCTAATTTAATTTTTTTTCTTCTCTGGTTTATTGTGAAATAAATTGCCTGGAGGAATGAAGAAATGAAGGGTTGTGTATATACGTGTAAAAAGATTTTCAGATGAACTGACTTCCTACATAGTTTATCTTGCTCGTCTTTGATAGCGGATGATGTGAGTGTTCATATATATATATACATTAACGGCATACGATCGTGTATGTATATGTATATGTACATGTACCGACTCACGGTTGTCTATGGTTAAATATATATTCTCATTTTTGATACAAAAAAGTAATTTATTTATGGACCGGAAAGAGATGCAGGAATTAAATTATATTGGTTCAAGATGGAAAGCAGATCTCTTATTTAAGATGATAAACTATTGCATAGGCTTTTAAGATCTAACTTCACATCATGTGCTTTCAGATCCTGGTTTAGTTCTGTTTAAGATTTCAAGGTGAAATGTTTGAGGGATGGTGATGACGACATGTTGTACACTTGCTATTATTCCCTTTTCACCATCAAGCACAGAACATTGTATTTAGGAGCTTTTGTTCACTGTTTGTAAGATGGAACCGCTAAGAAATTTTAAGCCTGTACAAACTGCAGATTTTACCTACCCACCAAATAACCTGTCTCAAACAGTATTTTCTCATGCGGGGAAATAAATGTTCTATTGAAACTCTACTATGGCTATGTTAATATATTGATGTTTTAAGACCATAAGCTGTTTTTCTTGATTTTGGACCTGTATTGCATTTTTTATTTTTATTTTCTCTGTAATTAACATTGTAAACCTCTGTTGGAATGTTAGATTTCCTAATACCGGTAATACATGTAGGCTATTTTTCTGCTTGCAATATTACAGTACTGACTAAAGACGTGTGTGTGCTAGAAATGACTGAAAATGTACTTTGAGGCTAATGCCTGAAAGTAAAGGTGGCACTGATGCAATTTTTTTCTTGTTGTTTGGGTAATTAATTATATATATATATATATATATAATTGAACTTGTTTGAATAACATACATGCATAATGATTTACTTTACATTTTTGAGTATTTGTCAACACAAACACGCAACTTATAAAGCAGATGTGTGCTTATGTAAATATAATTTTTCATGTTTAAAAAAGTTAATTGGTTGCAGCACAATCATAAAATGGAGGGATATTTTTACATTGGAAAATACTATGTGCTCAAGGAGATATATCTTTATTTATTGGAACGCATCATAAAAGGTCTCTACCCATCACATATCTATCACTAAATATCAATATCACTGTTTATTCCGATAAATCGAGAAAAGTTACTAAAGAGCGCCCGCGCGTGTTTTGCCGATTAGAAAAGTAACCAATCGGAAACACACTCTTATCTGTCAATCATCTTGAACGCGCGGATTTGTTGAGATCGGGTTGGCTGACGAATTTTAGGAGGGCGGGGCCGGGGTTTTTCCATAGGCTGGGTTTCATGGTTTTTAACGGCGTCTGGCGAAAATTAAAAAGGTGAGAATCGTTTGTATACCGTTTATGCTTACATTTCACAACAGTATTCGGACACATACTTTTTTTTTTAAGATGGTGTGATGTGGTAAATGTGTAATTGTTTGAAAAATATTTAAGCTGCTCAAACGTGTGTATTTCAGAGGTCACATGTGGTACGTAGATGCGTCATTAAATAACATTAGAAATGTTTACCATTGGTGAGGTAATCAAGAATATATTGTCTTGTAAAATTCTTGTTGGTGTACTGCTGCAATATTATATATTTTTTCCCTTTCTTTGTAGTGTACCCTTGAGTTCTGGTAGGGGGCAGCAGTGAGTCAGTATTGATGATGGAAGAACACGTGCCGTATGATTTCTTTTCCATAAGGTGATGGCAGCCTACTCTATCCAGATGTGTTTTACAGCTCTGGTCACAGATCATATTCAAATATTTATCTCGGAAATACACACACACGCCTATGAGCTAATCTCTCAGGTCTCTGTTGGCAATTTGAAAAGATCACGAGTGAGTTAATTATCAAACATAATTTTATTTTCTAGATCAGGGGTGCCCAAACTCGGTGGAGGGCCGGCGTCCTGCAGAGTTTAGCTCCAACCCCAATTAAACACACCTGAACCAGCTAATCAAGCTCTTATAGGCATACTAGAAACTTACCAGCAGGTGTGTTGAGGCAAGTTGGAGCTAAACTCTGCAGGACACCGGCCCTCCAGGACCGAGTTTGGGCACCCCTGTTCTAGATTGTTCCGAGGTTCTTGATGTTCCTTTAAATGGATGAAAGATGATTAAATCTAAGCAAAGGAGAAACCGTTACGCTGTATCTCTGTAGCTTTCATAGCCCACTAATGTTTGTTTCAGTTTTGAATTTGAACAGTTAAACATCCATATGCTGATATGCCCACTGTCTCACAGTTTAATTTGTGGTTGTAGGGAAATTAAAGCAGTTGCAGGTCTTACTCTGGCTTGCATATGATAGATTACCAACACCTGTTTAATTAGCAGATAACACTTAGGAGTAAAACATTGCTGTTATAAATGAACAGTTCCTATTTATAGGAAAATGAAGTCATGCACCTCTTTTTAAGGGGTACCAGTGACAATCCTATCACTTTGTTATATGATTGTGAGGCAATAGGTTTAATCAAATACTACTTTGAATCATAACCCAAAGCATGTCACCTGAGTGTGTACTATCTAATTAAATATCATTAGTATATAATAAACATATCATTAAGGCTAAAACTATTAAGTGGTCTGGTGTTGATAAATTCATCTTTGGGACACTTGCAACCACACTCTGCATTGGTTTTGCACAAATCGCTTAAATTACATTTTGGATTCAAAACGACAAATTTTGCCAAAAGGTTATGAATTTGCAGAACTATTTAGAAAAATGCGTTATTTAAAAAAAAATCTGAATGGACTTCAAGCTTCCAGAGACAATGATTACATATTTATTAACGTGGATCTAAAAATTGATAAATAGAACTATGAATGCAAAATCGTATATGTGACCCTGGAGCACAAAACCAGTCTTAAGTAGCACAGATATATTTGTAGCAATATCCAACAATACATTGTATGGGTCAAAATGATCGATTTTTCTTTTATGCCAAAAATCGTTAGGATATTAAGTAAAGATCATGTTCAATGAAGATATTTTGTAAATTTCCTACCGTAAATATATCAAAACTTCAGTTTTGATTAGTAATATGCATTGCTAAGAACTTCATTTGGACAACTTTAAAGGCAATTTTCTCAGTTTTTAGATTTTTTTGCACCCTCCGATTCCAGGTATTCAAATAGCTTTATCTCTGCCAAATATTGTCCTATCCTAACAAACCATACATCAATGGAAAGCTTTCGGATGATGTATAAATCTCAATTTCGAAAAATTGACACTTAAGACTGGTTTTGTGGTCCAGGGTCACATATATTACAACATAAATGAAAAGCAAGAAATCCTAAAACACAAATTAAACATTAACATTTTTATTTAATGCATATAAGAAACTGTCACATCATGAGGCTTACATTTGTTTTATTAAACTACACTATGTTTGCACACGGGTAACCAAAAGTACACTGACCTGGGATATTGTTCTGGACAAAAATGAAAAGTGTATTGCAACAGAGATCAGATGTCATAAATCTCTCTCCCTAAAGGCTGCCTCAAGGCTGCATGTCCCAGGGCTGCTGTGGGAGAAGGGTGAGGTGGTTGTGTCGTAGTGTTCTCAGCTCTGTCAGCCGTCCCAGGAGCCTGGCGAAGCGTCGTGGGTCCTGTGCCGTCCCCTGACTGCAGCAGCAGCAAGCTCGGGACAAGAGCTCCAAAACAAACTCCTGTAAGTTCTCAACGCAACCCACCGCACGCAGAGACGGCCTGTCTGCTTCACAACAGAGAAAAAAATGGAGGTCATTTGAAACAGTTCTAAATAAATAAATAAAAAAAGAAATTGTATTTTGACGAGCTTAAGCTAAACCTTTATGATGGCATTTACTGTCTGACCTATAAATGACTGTTCTGAATATGGTGACATCACATGGAGGTTCACATGGACATGAGTCACAGTTGTGTTAATCATAAACCACAGACCTGAACATAACACTGCAGTCGCTGTTAGAAGTGCATATTCAGCCTCAGTTACCGCAATAGTCACCATGCTGTGGAGGAAATTTACCACAGACCTCAAGAACTCTTCATTCAAACCTTAAAGAAAAAATAAAAATCACAATATTAGCAGAGACAAAAACTTTAGACAATTGGACTTGGACTCTAAAGACTCTTAATGATACATCAGTTGGATTAATCACTGCATGTAGTGTGAGATTTTCCTGCTATGATTATCACTGTGCATATAGATCACCTGAGTATGTCAGTATCCTGTGGCTGTTCCCAGTCTTGGACTCTAAAGTTTTCACCCAATCAGGGTTTGAGTTATTCGAATTTGCTGGGTATAAAGCTGGTGATAGAAAACATAGCAGTGAGTCATATGTGTTGAGTTTTCCATTTCAAGTGAAAATTTTAACAATGCTTTATTAGCAAAATTTATTTTTAGCACACATGATTAAGCTAAGCTTTAAAAACTCACATTGTCCCAGACACCAATATTTTAACTAGTGCTGTCAAACGATTAATCGCGATTAATCGCATCCAAAATAAAAGTTTTTGTTTACATAATATATGTATGTGTGCTGTGTATATTTATTATGTATATATAAATACACACACATGCATGTATATATTTCAGAAAAATATGTTATGTTTATATATTAAATATATTTTTTAAAATATAAATTACATGAATATAAATATAGACATGTTAATTAATACATGTAAATATTTTCTAAATATATACTGTATGTGCGTGTATTTATATATACATAAATATACACAGAACACACATATATTATGCCAACAAAAACTTCTTTTGTATGCGATTAATCGTTTGACAGCACTAATTTTAACTATTCATAAAAGATGAATCACTGTCTGGCCGACTGAAATTTCAATATGGATATAAAGATTAGGATTTTTCGGTAGTAGTACAGCACATTGTGAGTCTATGTTAGCACTGTTTGCTTTTGAAAAAAGACACTTGATGTCAGACTTAACAAGCAGATTATGTGATAATGAATGTTATTACCATTGCTAACACTAGTGGGGTTCTCTGAGAACTGCTGAGCCAAGAGTAGGAACATGACTTCAACTGAAGAGCTGGACAGAAGAGTGTTCTGGTCAGAACCATCCAAAAGCTCAAACCCTAAACAACAGATGACCACGAATTAGATGTGTTTGGAGGTGTGTGGTGTGGTCTGAGAGAAGCCAGATGAAACTGACCAGGTACGCTCCTCAAAAATTGCAAAAGCTTCTCCGTCTGTGGAGGAGTCAGATCTATATTGCTTGTCAAACTTGACCACAGAGGCACCTGGGGAAAGAAAAAGAATTGTATCTTATGATATATTAAGAGCAGTATGTGTGTTTTCATTTTTAATGAAGAAAAAAAAACATACCCGACAGTGCGTGTTGTCTTGAATTATGTACCTACGATAAGCCTCAACAATTCTATTCAGAATGCATCTCTGCTCTCTGGAGAAACCAGATACCTGCAAACAGTATTTTGAAGACAAGAAGACACTTGTTCTGAATTTTTAAAATATAACAGGCTTCAGATCTTACTAAAACTCAAATTTCATGCTTGGACAGGCTAAATAAAATAGGAGAGTTTTACCCGAGCGGTGAATCTGCTGGTGGACGAGACGCTTCTGCTTTCAGAGTAGTCGTCTTCAGCTCTTCCCGTTGACCCATTGTGTCCTCTGTGCTTGGAGCCCTTCCTCAGTCTCTTCGACTGGCATTGCACCTCTGTAAGCAGACCTGACAAAAAGACACCAGCAATCAGCTAATGCTGACTAACTCAACATCCAATTAGATTCTAAGTGTTTTTGTGTGAAGTAGCATCTGACGTTATCGGTTTCCCCAGAAATTATAGAAAACTCGTGAAGAGTTTTTAAGTCAATCTCACACTCTGCCAGCATCCCGACGGCTCTGCATTTGCGCAGTCTGCAGTCCTGACACTTTCTCCGCATGTACATGTCCATCTCGCAGCTTCCACCACTCTTGCAGCGGTACACTGCCTTTTTAGTCACACTGCGTCTGAAGAAACCTAAGCCGAGAGAGATACACTACTGTTTAAAAACTTTTTTGATGTTTTAAAAGAAGTCTTTTCTCCTTAACAAGGCTGCATTTATTTGATCAACAATTCTGTTAAATCAGTAATGATGTGAAATAATACAATTTAAAATGATTGTTATATTTTAAAATGTAATTTATTCCTGATGGCAAAACTGAACTTTCAGCATCATTACTCCAGTCTTCTTTGACACATGATGTTTCAAAAATCATTCTAATATGCTTGAAATGGTGTCAATTTGGTGCTGGTAAAAATAGTTATGGTGCTTAATTTTTTTCTTGATTTCTGTAAAAACAGATTTTTTTTTTTTTCAGGATTATTTGAGTAATAGAAAGTTGAAAAATGGCATGTATTTGAAATGGAAGTCTCTTGTAACATTATAAATGTATTCACTTTTGATAAATTTAATGCATCCTTGCTGAATAAAAGTATAATTTTTTTTCCAAAAAAAACACTTACTGACCCCAAACGTTTGAATTTTAGTGTATATTCTTACAATTCGGTCTTTCCCATTGAGGGAAACAGACCAAAACTAGCAACTAGCAATAGCAAGTACCAAGTCATAGTTCACTGCTATTGGCGATTTTTTAAAAAAGAGACAAGCTCGTAGATACGTCCCACCCCACTTCCTGGTTCCAAAGGAAATATGGCAACACAGGAAAGAAAACTGTTCGTCAAGCTATTACATGCAGTCTTATAAGTACTGATTTTGGACATTAGTAAACACTGTAAATTCAAGAAGTGCATCATGGATTATTGTTGCCTTCAAATTCAGTGCTATTGTGATCGTCCAACCTTTGCATCCCTCACAGGTGAGGGCATTGTAGTGATATCCTGAAGCTTTATCTCCACACACCACACACAGCTCATCCTGGCCCTTCACCCGAGCTCCATAGCCCATCCTGGGTCTTTTTAGCACTGGAAGACCGACAATGCTACCTCTTGTTGGGCTTTGGACCTCCATGTCTGGCTCACAGGTGAACTCAGAGCACTGATGGCTGTAGGGGTACGGCGGGTTGCACGCTTGAGCGTTTGGCGCTCCATACATTGAAAACTGCACATTGGCGTGGCTGAATGGCTGCTGGCCATAGAGAGGGCTTTGTAGATCTGGTTCCTGATAAGAGCAGCTCAGTGGATCCACAAGAACATCTGCAGCAAGGATTGAAGAACATCTTGATGAATGAAACGCTTCACAAGAAATATGTTCCTTTTTCACATGATTCTCAAATTACCTAACTACTTTTATGAGGCCTTTGGGACGTAATAAAAAAAATCCCAGAGCAAGACCTTTTAGATCTTTTCTGTCTCTGGAAACAGGATGCAGCTGAAGAGGTTACAGTTTTGTTTATGGTTGTTATTTGCTTTGTAGCTTATGGGGTTTTTATAACGTACAGAACGGAGCCTTCCTGATGTTTTCTCTGTCGGTGGGAAGGTTGTGAAGATGGATTTTAGATTTGAGTTCCCGCATAGAGGGAGCATATGTCACAACCGGCAGCATTTCTGAAGCACATCTGCACAAGAAGTTTTTTTTTTCATGTCTTGACAGACACTTCAGAACTAGTAGTGACAACGAGCAAATTAATGTAATATTTCACATGAGAAAAACTTATATTTGAGTAAAACTCTTCTCATCCAACCAATTCCAGCAAATCCATCTCTGTTTTTCCATGTCATCATAAATAGCCTTCTGCATTGTGGTGGTCTCTTTACTGGTCTTCAATCCTGTCTTTCTCACAGATGTTTTATGTCCCGTTACAGCTAGAGCATAACTTTCCGGTGCTAGTATCTGTTTGTAAACCACTGGAGTTTTTCATAAACATTCATGTTGACGAGAAGCTGCTAATATACTATCATTGACTGTCCTTCCAGACGCCACAGTGAGTTAAATGACAAAACTAAACTGAGACTTTGACAAAGCACTATTCGGACATTAATTGTTTCTCAAGGCGACATCTGGGAAATAATATTTGGACATTCAGATGTTCATGTAATGAATTCGGGTATACAAACCAGTAGACAAACCACTGTAAATAATACATGATCGGTCACATGACCATATTTCAACATGGCGTCAGTAATGACATTCAGTTAAATGTAATTTTATTCCAATTATCCAGAGTCCAGATCTCTTGGTAAGATTGATGTGCATATTTTACATGTATTTTTATTTATTTGTTTATTCTTTTTTTTTTTTTTTGCCATTATAGTGCCACAAAAAATATGATACTATATTAAATATTATTATAATATACTATTATCGTATTTCTTAATATTTTTAATTAGCTTTTGTTTTTAGATTTTCATTTTTTTGTTTTAGTTTATGTTTTAGTAATTTTGTTTACTAGTTTTTATTTTCTTAAAATTTTTATTTAGTTTTAAGTTTAGTAATTACATCAATAAGTGAAAATTGCTTTTAATAGCTTTAGTTATTAACAATAACAAGACTGATTCAATGAAAGTCAGTGGGGTCCAAAATGACGTTGGTTCCCATTGACTTCCTTTGTATGACCAAAACACGCATTTTTCAAAATATCTCCTTTTGTGTTGGAAAAAATCAAATCAAATCAAAAAATTCTTCAGGGTCTGAACAAAATAAGCGTGAGTAAATGATGACAGAATTTTGAGGGAACTATCACTATTGTAATTCTATAATAAACAGATTTACATATAGTAAAGCGTAATCTTACCATAGTACTGTGACTCTGTGATGTCATACGTGTCTGATGCAGAGAGGTAGCCACTGACTGACATGCTCATCTCAGGATCTGTCCCCTCTCTCATCTGATCAGTTGGATTCTCGCTCTTCACAGAGAATGTCTGAATCTATAAAAGAGCACAAAAGCTTTCATTCACCCTGTTTGAGGATCATAATCCAGTGCCTTCAAACCTTTCTTCAGCAAGCTCGCCAACCCCAGAGAAAGACAAGTTATTTTAGGCATCACTGTCACGAAAAGGTTATGATAGAACTCAGCAAAGGCTGTGGAGATCTCCGTCTGTGCTCCTCTGGGGTTCTGAGAGGATCTGAAGAGCATTGACTGTGAGAATTAGACGAGAGATTAGGCCTGTGTGTCCAAACAGCTGCTCTGGCATGAGTTTCACAGAAAAGGCCTCACAAAGAGCAGTCTGTCCTAAACGCCTTCAACAGGTTTGGCCTGTAGCTGACTCCCAGCATTCAACAGCAGCTGTGTGAACGTACCTAAACTTGCACTCTCGTCCAGGAACTGGAAAGAGGACCTGCAATACACTTTAAAGCGAGCGGCTATTTTGGTTGTTTACTGAATGACATCTACTCTACAGGGAGCAATTTTGTGGCTCAGAAACTAGTGCAAAGCATCATCAAGTTGACATTGAGAAGAACTTTTATCCAAAGCAATTTGAAAATTGCCCTATTCCTAACTCCAGCTCTTACAATTTACTATCACTTAGAGAAGATCCCTACACTGTAAGAAAAAAAAGAAAAAGAAAATATACTACTAGTTTTCTGTCAGGACATTACCGGTTTTCTTTAACTCTTATTACATTACACAATGCAGTGTATTGTATCTGAACATGCTCATGCTGCAAACAAATGTCAGCATTGTTGTGAACAATGAGTTATTGCACACAAATCCCAGAGCACCGATATATTCCAGCAGTGGTGTAAAACAAAACTTTCGCTTTCACTTCCCCAGTTCCATGTGAATTTAAACAATAAGCCCTCTAACATAAATGAAACTGAAAATGTGTTGATTTTGTTCAACTAGTCAGTTCACGCATGCAGAAGGCTATATTGCATACCCCCTTTGCCAACTAGGGTGTTTGATTGGAATATTGTTCCAGGACTAATAAAACTTTTAGGGGGAGACTTGTCTTAACGTGTAACCCCTAAAAATCCAATTAGTCCTGGAACAATAAAACATCAAGGATGTTGATTCAGGAACACATCCTACTTGGGAAAATCACGCAGAATATAATGAATTATTCAAGAATGACATGATCAAAAGAGGTATGCAATACTGGTTGCTGTGTGAACTGACTAGCTGAACAAAATCAAGGCGAAACATTTTCAGTTTCATTTACATTAGAGGATTTCCGTGAATGTGAGAGAAGTGAAAGAGAAAGCTTTGCTTTAATAATTTGCATGCAATAACTCATTAGCACAACTATGCTGATATTTGCTTGCAACATGAGCATGTTGTGATACAATACTAAGCATTTGTTAAAATGCAAAATGAGTATCTATAGTAATATTCAGCACATTTTTTATTTACATGGTGTGATAAACTGCAAATATTATATTTTGTATATAGGCTACCATTTAAAAGTTTGGGGTCGGTAAGGTATTTTAAAAGGTATTTTATGCTCACCAAGGCTGAATTTATTTGATCAAAAGTACAGTGAAAACATTAATATTCTGAAATATTATTACAATTTAAAATAACCATTTTCTATTGGAAAAGCTAATTTTTTTCCTGCGATGGTAAAGATTATTAATGTTGTAACCATAATAAATTTTTTTCAGGATTCTTTGATGAATAGAAAGTTCAATAGAAAGGATCGCATTTATTTGTCATATAAATATTTTGTAACAATGTTAAAGCCTTTGCTGTCACTTTTGATCAATTAAACGTGCCCTTGCTGAATAAGCAGTAGTTACTTTCTAAAAAAAATTTAAAAATCATGCTGACTCCAAAACCTTTGAACAGTATATTTCTTTTTTTCCAGAAGCACTTTTTCACTATTAATGGTTTGAGCAATCATTCAAAGTTCAACATCACTTGCATGATTCACGAGTTCTCAGAAATCCTGTAGTGCTCAATATTACAGTTACCAGCATCTCATACTGAATTCTTTTATAGCATGTATGCAAAATAAATAAATAAAAAATACACATTATTGATGGGGGGCAATTCAATGTCTTTCAAATCTACACCTTAGATCCTCTGAACTAGAATTCCTCCTGTTCTCATTCACTTTAACTTTGTGTTCTGAGTGGCAATGTGGGTCACTCTCTATTTCCCTAGAGGAATGACAGAGTGACATCCAGCTCATCTCTGGAGCTTTAGGGAGTGTTTATACACGCTGTGTTTGCCACAGCTCTGTTTGTCATGCAGTTAATCTTTGACATTGAAAAGATTGAAGACTGCAAGAATCTAACCTTCCCACCCGATATACTTTAGACCCCATGAAGGGGCAGGCTTTCCTGAAAACTCCTCAAATTATGACACGGACGCTCACACGTACCCTGCCCGTTGTATACTGCCCGTTGAGCTGACATAGAACATCCTCGATGGCGTTATTGTGGTAGCATCTCAAAGAGACTGACCTCGGTTTCGCAGTGTCGAAATATAGATATTAGTGCCTCTGAGACCCAAGGGAGGGAAACTTTTGCTATCACTCCCATGCCATCCATCACAATGACTATGGGTTCTTTCCTCAAAAAAATCTGCACGATTAACAAAACAACCTTCTTTGAACTCCATGGATGGTTCATTCCAGATGGGGTTAAAGGGAGCAAAGCTCCAATGGGTTTGAACACTCATTAATTTTTCACACAGTTTTCACAAGAACATAAATAGCAACTATATAAATAAACATGCCTTCAGCATATCATAACAGTTGTTCATTCTTAAAAATAAAGATTCCAAAAAGTAGTTCTCAGCAATGCCACAGAAGAACCATTTTTGGTTCCCCAAAGAGCCTTTTAGTGAACATTTCCAAAAACAACAATTTTTTCTTAGTGTGAAGAACATTTTTCCACTTTGAAGAACCTCTTGTGGAATATAAAGGTTCCATGGATGTCAAAGTTTCTTCATTGAACCATAGATGCCAATTACGAACATTTCTTTTTAAGAGTGTTGCTGTGTGTGTGTGCACTTTGGATGGGATAAATGCAGAGCACTAATTCCAAGTATGGGTCACCATACTTGGCCACGTTGCGTCACTTTCACTTTCATTCACTTTCATTTGAAAGTTTTGTGCGAGAAGCCCTTAAAGGTGGGGCAAGCGATTTCTGGTAGCCAATGTTGACATTTGAAATCACCAAAACAACGACACGACAAATCCCCGACAGAAAACGGCTGCTGCATTCTATTCATGACGTATTGACCAGTGTTCATTTAGTTGATGAATAATTTTAAATGTCGTCTCGACGAACTAAACTAAAACTAAACACGAACTAAAACTCTTTTTGAATGACAAAAACTATGACGTAAATCTATTGACATTTTCGTCAGCGAATAAAAACGAGACGAAAATGTTAGGGAGGGACGATTTGGGAAGAGATTCATTCAGAACGAATCTGCTGCGTGGTTCGGAGGTTAGATGCGTACATATGAACCGGCGGGACATAAGCTAACATACACTTGCTGCACGTCGCATAAAACGTTCAAAAATGTCAATATGTGGGAGTAAGAGAAGAGCAGACATACGGATAAATCTGACGACGCAAGAGAGAACTCAATTCGGTCCGGTTTTCTGAGCCCAGACACTGAAGCATACACAGTGTGAGTTCTCTCCAGCGCTGGAAAGCTGATCCGATATTTACACGGGTCCTACTTCTTGCCTTAAGAATTCTTTTGTTCCGCAGACGTTTTCCTCTTTTGTTTTTTATCCGCCATCTCTATCTTTCTGTCGCTCGGCTAATGTCCGTCCTGTGCTGTGCACTGAACGCTCTCTCCTCCACATCAGGAGTAGACACGCCCCTTACTGCTGATTGACTACAAGTTTGTTTTGCTAGTCGCCCGAGTAAGTTTCCTAAAGCGTTTTTGAAAAATCGCTCACCCCACCTTTAAGGGAGTACAGTTTGCTTTGTAAGAACCATCATGTTAAACATCTAGTAACATCCAGACAGCACTGTATCTGCCGTTTTCATTTGCCCATGTATTATCTTTTTTGATATTAGCTAGCTGCTCATAGACAGGCTGTGTTTACAGTTTTAAGCAGGACACAGGATTCCAGACGTTTGGGGGATGTTGGACTAAAGTCCAGAGGTGCTTGTAATGTTTTGAATGTAGATGATTATCAACAGTGGTTTATCGCGAGAGACTGATGTAAGGCTGGTTAACTCAGTGATAATGAACATGTGAGGTATCCACATAGATAACGCAGTTGAAGCAGTCCAGTCTATTAAAAATCAAAGTGCATATTGATTAAATGGCAACTTATCATTGATTTCTGTCTGTGATGTTGACTTCCTTGTAGCAGCTCCCAGACAGAATAAGCATGCAACAGAATGTCTAAATGGCTGCTCGACAAACGCCAACATTTCAAACATTCTTAAGTTGTCTGTTAGATTTGGAATGTTGGGAAACAGAACTGTCATGTTCACACTGACCCACCAAAGCCAAGAACTAAAGATGATGTTTGTTGAGTGAGTGTGAAGGAGACTTTGGTCACTTAGCAAAGGAAGTTGGAAAGGTATAAACTGATTTGCAAAATGTCATGACATTCATGAAACTTTGTTCAACTCAACAACATTTATTTCTTGCTTATAGAGTTAAATTAAACATTTTAAATACACTTTTTTTCTAAAAGAAATTAATACTTTTATTCAGCAAGGATTTTTTTTGCATGAAATTGATCAAAGATGACAATAAAGATACTTATTAACGTTACAGCAGGTAAATGCTGTTATTTTTTATTTCTATTCATTAAAGATTAGGGTTAGGGATAAAATGAGAAAACATGCATTAAAAATGCATCACAGTTTCCTGAAAAATATTAAGCAGAACAACTGTTTTCAACATCGATAAGAAATAATAAATGTCTCTTGAGCTGCAAATCAGCATATTAGAATGATTTCTGAAGGATCATGTGACACTGAAGACTGGAGTAATGATGCTGAAAATTTAACTTTGCATCACAGGAATAAATTACATTATGTAATATATTAAAATAAAAAACAGTGATTTTAATAATGTAATAATATTTCACAATATAACAATTTTTTGATCAAATAAATGTAGCATTGGTTAGCATAAGACACTATTTTCAAAATAATTTAAAAAAATGTAACCAACCCCAAGATAGATAGATAGATAGAAAATTTCTTTATCCAAGTAACCAACTTCATGAGGTGCATCCTGGGATGCTTTATAAACAAAGCAGACTTTATGTATGCTGGACACTTACTGGCTGCTTTTTCTTTATGATCCATTCCAAACCATCCATTATAAACTGTATAATTTTAAAAACTCTTGTAAAGAGATTCAAGAATTGTCATTTGATATTTTAAGAATTTACCAAAACGCTCTACTGGTAGCACTGAGAGTTTCTAGAGAAAACCAATTTTGTGTACTCACCAGCGCTGATGTTGCGTGTGCTGGATCTCAGCTTGCTGTGCCTCTTGCATTTGTGATGTTGACAGCAGTTCAGCCCCTGACATCCAACACTTGCCAAACACACATTGGAACACACATGCGCAAAACAAACAGCGCTTCCCGCCAACACAAACCATTAATTCAAACACATACCAGTACATGTGTGTTTAAACAAGGGGTCACGGAAAGTCGATAATACACCAAAAAGGACAATTTAACATTGTCCTGTCCAGCTTTTAAGATCAACTTCAAAGCTGGCGTAAAAAGTTAAGAACCGATATTTAATGGTTTGGACCTGTTGAACACAGAGAGGGACGTGATGGGAATGAGGAGCTGTTTAAGTGAAATAATGACTGACTTCTGGACGTTCACTATGTGAATGAGTGGGCTCATTAGAACATTCCCAGCAGCCCAGTGTTTATAAACAGCCCTAGTTCATCTAACTGATGGATGAGCGCACGCTATCTCTCCGTTCTTCCTGCCGCTCCTCAGAGAACATCCTTGCTCAGCCAGGGTTTCACAACCACTCCGACACACTCCCACGTGTCACTACACAATTCAGCTGCAGGCACGCAACTCAAGACCCCCTTATCTGTCTCTCTCTCCCTCACGCACACACAGAGACCCCAACCCCTCTTCTGCTTCATGGGTGGGCCCTTCATGTCCTTCGCTGGGGGCAGAGGGGACATTCTGAGGGTTGCAGATCCCGCCCTGATGCTCTTAACTCACAGGATGCTATTGACAGCGACTGTTATAATGAGGAAAAACAACATAGATGTGTTTTTCCAGGAACAACAGGGCTGCTGATATGAACCACGGGGTAGACAATGTTCTTCCCGAAACAAAAAATGCTTCCAAGAAATTCAAATAGGTGCTGTTTTGGAGCCTATACTGAGCTGAATACATACAGTAGGCAGTATTATAAGGTAACCGTAGCACAAAAGCAACGCAAAAGTTATTCCGAAAGGTAGGCAGGACAATTACAAAGCCTAATTAAAAAGCTTATTTTGGCCAAATTCAAAGGCAGCATTGCAAATATCTTTAAAAAGGAAATCCAATAATGCACTGCTAGTTTGAATTTTTTTTTTTAAAACATCCAAGTTGGCAGACAAATTTTACACATTTATATATATATTTCTATATAAAGGAACACTATTGATATGACACAGCATTGCTCCCTATCTACGGAGATCAATGTTCTTTTATTGTTAAAGGGACAGTTCACCCAAAATAAAATTCTGTCATTAATTACTCACCCTCATGTCGTTCCAAACATGTAAGACCTTTGTTCATCTTCAGAACACAAATTAAGATATTTTTGATGAAATCCGAGAGCTTTCTGACCCTGCATAGACAGCAACGGTATTGCGATACTCCAAAGAACGCATGGCAGAGACTGACACGAAGAGAAGAATTGTTAAATAAAGTCATTATTTGTGGGGGGTTTTCGCACAAAAAGTATTCTCATAACTTCATAAAATTATGGTTGAACCACTGATGTCACATGAACTATGTTAACGATGTCCTTACTACCATTCTGGGCCTTGAATGTGTCAGTTGTGTTGCTGTCTATGCAGGGTCAGAAAACTCTTGGATTTGATCAAAAATACTTTAATTTGTCTTCCGAACATGAACGAAGGTCTTACAGGTTTGGAACGACATGAGGGTGAGGGTCAGAAAACTCTTGGATTTGATCAAAAATACTTTAATTTGTCTTCCGAACATGAACGAAGGTCTTACAGGTTGGGAACAACATGAGGGTGAGTAATTAATGACAGAATTTTCATTCTTGGGTGAACGAACTATCCCTTTAACTAAAACTATTAAAATATTTTTATTAACTGAAGGAAAAAATATAAATATTAGAAAGTGTAAACTCAAAAAAAAAAGATATGAACTGACAACTAACTGAAATAAGTTGAAGTACTAAAGTTACTATAAAATTACACCTAAATAGAAATGTTAAGAAAATGACAAAAGCATATAAAATTACCAAAATACTTTTTTTTTTCCAAAAGTGAAAATTTAAAATAAAAGATAATTCAATATATTAATAAATACTAAAACAGTATATAAATATTACTGATGGAGATCCATTTCATTTAGGCAGCAAAGGCAACCCATTAGGTTCTAAAACAGAACCTAATTTTATAACAAACGCCATTAAAAGCTGTGCTGAGAAAAGTAAAAATGTCTTTAAAACTTTGGAAAGGGAATTGTTGCATTAACATACAATCAGAATTTACCCTACAATAGCAAATAATAGGATTGGAAATAAGCATTACCATTGAGATTCCTGAAGATGCTCCAGCAGATAAACTTGACCTTCGGCTTTCAAGTTGAAAAACCTCCTCATATGTGGATACTGGCAATATGGCAATCCAAAGCAAACTCAAATTCACCTCTCGCTGTTCCATTATTTAGTGGCCGCTTTTCAAGATCCTATCAATTCCTGATAGATAAATCGGTTTCATAATGAATTTTCTTTTCATTCACGACATTACAGAAGCAAAATGAGTGGCAAGAGCCATTTAACGTTGATGATTTGTTTTGAAAAATAAATATAAAGGAGATTTAGACAAATTGATTGTCCACACCAAAAAAAAGGAACAGTTCAAGCATGTTTGGCCTCAGAAAAACAAAAATCTTTAGTGAGTGTTGTGCTGTGATAAAGAACAAAAAAGAAGAAAACAGGCAATGTCAAATAAGACTTAAAAATAAGAACTTCAATAAAGGTACCTACTGACTGACAGGTGCAGCGCCAAATCAAATCAAAGGCCACAGTATTAAAAATTAAAAACATCTTTACAACATCAAAACATTTTTGACTATAGATTGCACAAAAACAGCCTATTAACATCGTTACAGTACACGGATTGAAGGCAGAACCTTTTCACAGTTCTGAGTCAAGACTGCTAGATCTGCCGAATGCAGCATTCATTCCACTCTACATAACAGAAAAATTACACGATTGCATGCATTGTATAAAAAGAAAAAAAAAAAACTTAATTCTGAAGTACAGTACAAACATTACAAAAGTGTTTCAGTAAGTCCCTTTGGTGCCAAATATTGAACCAATTAGACAAAAATATCTTTAAACACTGACACTGCTAGGTATAAAACCTATTGAAATAAAATCTAGATAAAACTATTAGGAAAAAAAAAGGGATTCTTTGTCTGTCAGCTGTGGCTGTGGAAATGTGAAGCTCAAAAAACATCTCCAG